CCTCTTTTTCTAATCGATAACAAAGGAATTCTGTCTACGCCACAACAAACTACTCGAATATTAGTGATTTACTTTTGTCTGTTACCAATACTAGATATTAAGAATTATGTATTTCCACGTAAAAACAGGAAGAAATACAGGAAGATTCTCTTCTGACAGTCTTTATACATTTATTGCTTGAAGTAAGGTAGAGGCAAGACTCACACTTCATTTTACTAAATGAAAAAGTGACTTAAATTCTTGAAAAATTGATTAAAAAGAGATTGATGGTTAAAAATGTCTAAACGGTGATAGAAAAACTTTACTTTATAAAAAGCGATTATTTCCAACCGTTTTATGTAGCCGGTTAAATCAAAACTGAAGGGCCAACTGATATTTGAAGACAAAAAATCAAACGTAATGCGTGATGCTCAGTCATTTAAGCAGTAAAATAGCATCAATTTGTCCGAAAAACGCAATGAACGAAGTGAGTCATAAATTAAACGGTATTCTCTGCCCTGTCTCCAGTCACGCCAGTAGCAACGCGAATGTGTTGGAAGTGTCACGTGGTACTAACACGTTGGAGGAGTTGGTATCACGCGACACTCCCGACACGTTGACTTTGCTACTCACACCACTCGAGACTAGGCGCCCTGGATGGGATCCGGTCAGTTTTCTGTAAATCTATAAAATACGACCGTTTAAAATACAAAATTATACACTTTAAAAGATTCGTGTCGTTAAAATGTTCATGCAACAACAGAAATGTCAATAAACTTGGCTGTATTTAATTTGTCTCTTTACGTACTGTACAAGTACAGGAAAGCTGTTGATCCATCCTGACTTATTCTTATCCAGCTTTTCCTGAATTTATCTTTTCTTTTTATCTTCTGCGAGATTCCTTTCTGACTTTTTAAAACTTCTAAGCTGTAGGCTACTTCTTTTACGCTATTCTTCTTCAAAGAATTGTTCGAACCTTCGGATGCCTGACTAAACAGTTGGTCCGCTTTCTTCCTCGTGTACTCGTCTTTTCTTCTTTTCTTTGACTTTTTCCATTTCTTCAATATTTCGTTTTTCTTCTGGCAGATTTCTTTCTGCTAATTTCCGCGCTTCTTTCTCCTCCTGATTTTCTTCCTCTGCTTTTCTTCACTTGCTCCGAGTGCTCGTGGCAATTTTTCCATGTATCGTGTAGTAATTCATTTGTAATTGGCAATAGTTCTGGCTTATAAAAATATTTCTTAATTGCATTAATGTTTAACTTTGCGTGGCAAATCTCTCTTTCGAGAGAAATTAGCCCGACAAAGAAAAATCTCGTTCGAAATGGCTAATCCGTGGCTCAAAGTTAAAGGAGCTTTGGCCGTTTTGGTTACAATTGGAAAATCTGCCAAAAAGTGTCTCCAATAATAATCGATATGATCAGCAGTGGCGTAATTAGAAACTTTAAATAAGGGACAAAAATTTTTACCGGCTTTTTTTATTTTAAAATTTATAATAAAAGAGTAAGGGTGTGCTATTTTATTTTCAATGTTAAATTTTTGGTCTTTTTTGAAATTCTCTTTAGGGAAGTACACTCTTTCTCTCTCTATCTCTTGCCCCTCCCTGCTTGCGCCACTGTTGATCTGTTTGATTTTCAGGGTCATCCTTGAACTGTTTCATTTTTCACTGAAGAAAAATATCAAGATCCATTTTGAAATCCATTTCAATGAAATCCCTGCAGCTCAAAACTGTAAAGGAGAGAAAATAGTTCCTAACAAACGAAAAGCTTCCCGAATTTTCTGGTTTGCCCAAAGCTGCCGAAGAAAGAAATTACGACAGTAGGCAATCCACCGAAGATTGGCCGCAGAAATTTGAAAAAGTTAAATTTTGGTAATGGGGCAGTGGCCATACTCCACGGGAGCGTTAGCCCACGGGAGAACTTTAACGAAGCCCCATTTGAATATTTAGATACGTGGAGAGACCGGAAAATTCCACACAGCCAGCCCATTACTAAGACCTGAAAAGAACCCATTTTCAGTACAGCCGAAGGTCCACTACTTTCACTGGTATGCAGCTTTTTGAACTTCTCCTTTTCTCTAGTTTTAAATAAGTCATGTACTAGAAAGTTTTGCTGAACACAGAAGTGACTCCGATAATATGTTAAAAAGCAAGCTGCATAATGGGCTTTAACATTCTTAAAATTTTTTAAGCAAGTTTTCTTATGGTTTTTTTTTTTTTGCTTTATTGCCACATTCTACTTCACGAACAGGATATATCTCATTTTCAGTAGGAGCTCTTTCCCTCCCTAATACATTAAATACTGATTCTTTCTTCGTGTAACACAAGAGCAACAACTTAGCAAGATTCTGAAGACGATTATGTAAAATATAAATAAGTGATTCTTGTTTCCGTAATGATCCTGAAAATCGGTTGAACTACTTGGCACTACTTGCAACAAACTGCAATGTGTAATATGGATGGAGACTGAAGATCTTCAGTAAGTTCTTTTAAAGTCTGGTCCAAGAGAATTTGTGATAATGTAACCCATTTTTGCAGATGATAAAGAAAAACTTTCAGGAATTGCTCGTTGACCAAATGTAACAGAGAAAGCTTCGGTAATAATACTACGCGAAGAAGCTGAAAAGTCTGAAAGCACTCAATTCTCCATATGATTTCAGCCCTAGTTGCTGCATCTTTGGAACATCTAAGAGCAATGGAATTTCCAATAGAAGCAGATGCATGAGTGACACGTGACTTAGAAGTGGTACCAACAAGACGAAGCCGGTATAGTGCCAACCTAATTTTGACAATTTTTTGTTTTTTTTTTCTCTCCAGCATGTTGAGAAAACGACCGAAATCTTTTCGAGTAATTTTTGAATCACATACTGTGATTCAAAAATTACTCGATGCATAATACTGTATGATCACCGATCTTCTTATCCCACCTGGAGATTACGGTCAACATTACCGGGCCATTCACTGTTAAAATAGCAGTTAGATATCTTTAATAGAAAAAAAGCAACATCAAAAGTACTTCATCACAATTACTGTCGTTTATTGAACTCGACTATCAATCACCGTTAACTACAGTTACCCACACTAAAGAGCAAATGAAAAAAAGTAAGACATTAAGCGGAAAACCAAAGTAAAAATGTACAATAACTATAACAAATACACACCAAAATAATATTTGATACAAATACATAGGAGCAATACAGTATATATCCAATTATCCATATTAATTTGGACCGACAGCAGAAAATCCGGATATTTGGATCTCTAACGAAACTAGGCTATTGTCACAACATAAAGGGCATTTTTCTACACAAGGCTAGTTTACGCTATTTACTATGGACTACAATGCAATATACACAAACGTTTAAATTAATAAATTTGCTATACGGTACTTGTGTAGAATTTGTTGCTTTGTTGCCAAATGCATTCGGCGATAACGATCCGGATAACGGCAGTTTGGATAATTGGAGTTCCACTGTGCCACATTATAAACAAATGAATATCACCTAGAAAATAAACTAGAGACTGCAGAAGGGCTTAGCCCCTCAGATACGTTTCATTAATTCTATCACGTAACGACACAATGTAAAATATTGTTAATTATATTGTTTGGTGGAAACTTTTATTTAATTTTGTTTAAATTTAATAATTGGATCAGTGTTTGGAATTTTCACTTTTCGAGTTTTAGTGTCTGTAGCACCATCTGTTGTCGAAAAATGTAAATATTTAGCAAAATTGATTAAAAATCAACAAACGAACGTACTCTTTACTTTTTCATATACAGTACACAACGAATTAAAAAAGATAATTATAAAATCAATAGTTTATTTTATAATGAAAAATTTGAATTAATTAAATCAAGAATGTGCGTGGAAAGAATCAAAGTACCGAATGAAGTGTATTTACGCGAAATAAATAAAGACCAGAAAAAATACTGTATTAGTGCTGAATAAATCTAAAAATACTTAGGACCTACAACGTTTGACTATTTTTGAATTTCTATAAATAGCATCATAGCATCATAAAAGATTCTCTAATGTCGAAATAATCGATGAAGGGGCCTAGCGAGGCCCCAAATTTACTCTTACACGTAAGAAACGTGACGGGAAACCGGCGAAGAGTCTATTTTAATTTGTGTTTTATTCGTAAATTTTATAACTGTTTGTAAGGCCTTACATTTTTCACCGGTCCGATCTCGCCTCTACCAAACTCTGTTCGGGCCTGGTAACGCTTTTATTCCTCTCTTTCTCTCAGTTAATATTAATTTCTTAAAAGCGGGTTGGTAATAAAACTTTAAACCCCATTTTTTACGCTATTTTGGCACAACTTATAAGGGATGGAATGCCCCCGGCTTTACTTCGGCGGAGTTCGACTGTTTTAATTTGCATTTCTATTTTCATTCTATGGGTACGTTTATATATTGTTCATTCAAATCAAAATGCCTCCTGATACAGTTGATGGAACTTAAATCTGTCGTTCTCAACAGGTATACGGCAGTCTACCGGTTGAAAATTATTACTATAGCAAATAAAATATATCTACTTCTCAATCAGTTTGCCGTAGCACACCGGGTGAAAATAACTGATTTATACAACAGCGGGTGATAATAAAATATTCAAAAACGACTGTTAAATTGTATCGAATGTCTCCGAAAGATGGCGTAGAAGTTTCATACAAATAATAAAACTAATTCCTGTAGTGTTAACAATTATTCGAATCTTTTTATCTGTAGATAAATAAAATAACAAAGGGTTCCTCGACTCACCATCGCACCAAAATTTCAAAATATATTTGAATTTAAATGTTATAAAAGTGAAACTAGAATATATAAAGCGGCCTAAACAGTTAACTGTTTTCTTGGTAAAATTTGTAAGTAATATAGTATTTGAATAAGGCAGTAATTTAGTATTTTACAAGGGTTAACGGACTTCTCGACCATTCCGTATATAACGCAGCTAACGCTCTCGTATCACTTAATCGATAAATGCCTCGATCTAAAGTGTATAAATTACATTAATTAAATGACTTACCTCCATTACAAGTAGCCGAACAGACAGACCAGTCAGTATACTGCCAATGAAATTCTGGTTTTCTGGTGATATTTTTATTTGGAATTGTGTATTCGTAGGACAAACCGGGATTTTCAGTCTGGAAGAGAAGCTGTAAGAGAATTTTAATGTCAGTTAATATATAATAGAGTAATTTATATTACCATCGATGAATAAATAATTAATTTGTAGTCTTATCGCACATAAAACCGAAAATTTGCACAGAAACGGAATGGCAAATAATTGTATCCTTGAAGTCAGTTGATTTATTATAATATACGGAGGACAGAAGTTTCCTTGTGAGTGAATTATCTAAAATTGCATTAAATTATAATTAATTATATACTACTGCTAATGGAAAATATATTTGAAAATAACAAGTGTAATTGTTCGTTTCGAAAATTGTCTTCTATACTACAGCACTAAAATATACTTTATCGTGTAATATTTTCTTTCTGCTCTTCCTTAAAAGTTCTATTTTTTACTTATACGAAAAGAAAAAATATAGTTATTTTGAAGAGTAATATTATATATATACATACATGTACAACAATGTACTGTACAGCCTATATGTAAGCCTATAGAGGCTATACATATAGTCTTACATGTGGGTTGTATATATAGATTTATGTAGAAGCTGTATATATAGAGGCTTATATATGTAGGAGGACCGAGGCGTCTAAAACCCGGAGTTATAGAAGGATAAAAGGATAAGCTCTGTGGATGAAATAACCGAAGAAAAAGCACGGAGAAAGGTGGGCGAAAAGAGAAAGTTATGGAGACGAATAACGTTGTGATAAAGAAAGCGTGGTCGACACGGGTCGACAGGCTGTATGGAGCAGATACTAAGATTAATATTAAAAGGAAAAGCAAAGAGGAGAGGAACTGCCCGAGAATATTAGAAACTGGATGAAACCGGTCGATAGAGACGGATGAAGAAGAGTGGTTTATGATGTACTGTACAGTACGATTATCTATTTACAAGACGTATAAGAAAATTACAAGTAAATAGATTTGTATAGTTCACACTGGAATATTTTTGCCTATTTTTTTAAAGTTTTAGAGAAATTGAATTTTCTCTTTCCGAGTTTGATTTTAATTAATATTCTTTTAACACGATCGCATAATTCGCACATTTCATTAAATAACAATTGTAAAAAGCAAAATTCGTCCGACTGTTTTTAGAAAATAAACAAAATACGTCGTACATCAGTTTTGTTCGGTGTTAAACTGTAATTTCACACTTACATTAAAATATATTAAAATAACACGAACACTGGAAAGACGTTTTATAATGGAGAGATCAGGAGTCTGTTCGGTAAGTGCTAACTAGAATGATAAATAATTGAAAAATATTTTTAAGGGAAAAAATTCCAGTTTAAAATGTGGATGTGTCCGTCGTCCCTTAATAAGACGAAGAGGAAAAGTTAATTAACATCTGGAAAATGTCGACGAAGGACCGAACCAAGAAAAGAAAATAAAGGAATACGGAGTATTAATCTAACACGCAAGATGCGTACCGGCGGTCAATAAGGAATTACGGATCGTTATTTCGGTAGTTAATGCTATTTCTCTGAAGTACTGGAGGAAGTTGAATGACCAATTAGCGCGAATTTGATATCGCGCGGTATCTCCCGCCGGTATTCCACAACTTGTTTTTCATTTGTCTGGGATTAATTGCAAATTTACTCTATGTTTTACCAAGAGTATATACCGTAGGGTATACGAATGTAGTCGTGGGAGTAAAAATAATTACCAGGATATATACGGGTTCCTTGGTGGGTCCGGGAGCGTGCAACGATTCTTTCTCTCCCTCTCGACTGTAATAAAATATGGTACCGGCCACGGGATATTCGCCGCTCCACTGTATAAACCATTGACCGTTTAACTGGAACTCCCGGCTACTGTCTTGAATGGCTATGTAATTATTTGCATCCCCCAATTCTTCGATACGGAAGTTTCTGGCTCCCGTTGGTATTTTTAATACTTCGACGTAACCTGAGAAAGAAATAATTACAAAGGTTATTTATATATTTATAACCGTGCAATATCGACGGCCGGAATACGTACCTAAACCTTTCTTTTGTAGAAAATTTCCGTGTATGGTTTGACATTGGGTTCCGTCTCCGTGGCAAATCCCGCAACGATCCTCTTGAGCGTTCGAATCGATCCCCCAATCGCAAGCGACGTTCTGTAATTAAATGTAATAATGTTCCAGTTTAAAAATACAATTAAAAACCTATAATTTATGCACCTAAAAAGTACCGCGTAGGTCTTAATATATCAACTATATCGGTTTTAACCTCGTCGCAAGCTTTACGTAGACTTAGTGTATACATAGATTAACCACAAAGTCCCATACACAAAACCGCATCTTCTAGTAACTATTTGTTTAGTTAATTTTTGGGCAGAATTATAATATGGCAGACATAGTGGAATTTGCTGGAGAAGCTCGGGAAATACCGGTATATGGAGTGTCGCCGGCAGCTATGAATATAAAGGGAAGGAGTCGATCATTCCATCTATTATTTTTTTACAAATGTACATAAAAAAAATATATTTTAAAAATATCATTTATTCGTTGTTAAACGATAACAAAAACAAATAATTTATTTGGTAATAGGGGACTAGATTCGGCTACAGCCATGGGGATTTCTTCGTTTTCAACTCTGCTCAAAATCTCGCAGTTCATTAGCACGAATGCTTGGCTCGAGATTCGACCATGACTTGATTTTAATCTACTCTTTATATATTTTAATTTCTAGAAGGTACGCGAGTAATGACGAAAATTCAGATCACCTTTGGAAATTTCCTCGAACATATACGTAACAGATAGGATACAACTATCCGGGCTGTTTTAATAGCTTTCAACTCTCGGCACAGAAGACGTCCAGAAAAATATAAAAAAAGTTTTTTATCATTTACATTTAAGTAGAGAAATAAATAAAGTTTTATTTATGAAAATCATAACAAAACTACCGATTTAATAACTCGTACAAGTCAAAATCTCCCCCAAGTTTTTGTTCGTTCTCCGTTCCATAAATATAAAAATGGCGAACGATACGAAATGAATAGCAAAAGTTCACGCGATTTAAGGATCAATCTCTGAAAGGAAAAGGATAAAGTGACAACGTGTTAACATTGCTGGGGGTGTTAATTAATAAATAGTGATTATAAATAATATTCAAATTATTTGTAATGGGATAAAACAGATTTTATATTCGAAAATCTTGCGACCGAATAAATATTTTAAAGAAGAATTTATAAACATTAAATGTATAAAGACAAATAAGATTCTGGAATCGACTAGAAAAAACTTATATAAAATAAATAATTGATAAATGTTGTTATTGTATGAAGCAATATCTCTATCTGTAAGTAACTGTTTACTGTAAAACTACTTAATAACTTGTCTTTTATGACAGCATTATCGAATTAAACAAGTTCGATTCAGTCATTAGTCATCGATCATACTTGTTTTTGTAGATATAGGTCAAGTCCTGGATCTTCTACATAATAACCATTATAATTGCGATACTTATTAATTAATATTTTAATTACACCAGTATTTTTCAGGCCAAAAATTATATAGATTTTATTAATTTTTTTGTATTAATATTAACTTAAAAAAGACTTTACAACTTTGAAAGCGTACATAATTTTAATCGGAAGACTTACAGAATCGGTTTAGGCGTTAATTTATAGCAAAACACATCAAGTTTTATATGGGACGGTCGACTCGGTTTTGTATAAGCGTTATTGATGATACGGAAGACATTCCACCCGAATTCAATTTCTTGCCAAACTCGAAGCAGCGTATGCTTTGTCACTTCGGTAACTGTGACTGTGGTCCGAGTTTTCGGCTCTGTCAGATTGGCAGGAAAGAATGGAATAGACACTAGATATTTAACGAAACACCATAAGAAAATTAGCGAGTTGTCAAATATGGGGAGCGAGGTGGACAAGCTCGACCAATCCGCCGACCTTAGTCACGTTTATTGAGGAAATCCCGGATATATGCTTCTGAGGTTTCGTTAAAGATGTAGTGTTTTTCCTGCAAATGTCACCGAGTTCGAAACTCGAATTACCATAGGTAGTTACCGGGTGACAACAGAGATGCCGCTTCGAGTTTGGCAAATAATTTAACTCGGGTGATACGTCTGCCATATAACCAGTGGTGCTGACACGACGACTGTTCCAGATAAAACTTGATGTGTTTTGTTACAATTAACGACTCAACCGATTCTGCGAGTCTTCTGATTAGAATTCTATATGCCTTCAAAGTCGTTTTTCAATCACTCTACATATTTGTAGGTTATAACCCTTTGATAAAAAGACGCACGTGACTGCAAATAAACCCTTTGAATTCTGCGACTGACATAAATGTAGACAATTTCGAAGATACCAAAGAATAATATCTCCTCAAATTTTACAATTTTATCGTTAGGAGGGATCTTGCAATTCATTCTGAAATATTTTTTTTAATGTTTTTGCACCTTTAATGTCTTTAACATACATAAAAAAAACGTACAAAAACGAGACGAAAGTATTTTTCTGCCTGGTAAACGTCGGTCACGGTTATGCAAATTAATTATAAAAGTTTGGTGATAAGTGATCGGAAATAATATAAATCTTACAAATTTGAACGGACATAAAAAATTGCGTGAAAAATACCATAAACAGCTTCAATAGATTGCGCCGTGTTTGATATGGAAGCATCGAGTTACAAGCTTGTCAATAATGTTTCTCTGATATTAAAACATTCGTGTCTCACAGTCAAACACAAGAAGAGATCTTCAAAATTCAGAAGTAAATTATCGATATTAAAAGCGCAGATTATTTATTTTAAATAATACAAATGATAACAGATGCAACGATATCGCGTAAATATCTAATATATTAGAAAGCTTCTACATCAAATTACAAACTTCTTATTCAAACATATTCCAATTATAAAGACAATTTAATATTAAAATCCCCGAAAACTGATATAAAAATAGGCCATATTTATCAGAGTAATCATGTCATACACTCACTACAAATGCAATTCTAAATAAACGAAACATACAAACTGAAAATATAAAACAAAACAATGTATATATTTTTATATATTGCATTTATTTGGCTAGAATTATGTTTGATTTGTTTACATTTTTGTTCTTGACAGACGAAACATTTCATCATAACATGTCAGACATTGATAAAAGTGTAAAAATCATTTTATTTCGCTGACGTCTTTGTAAAATATCCTCTTTAGGAATAGCAAATCTGTAGAAACAATCAAATAAATGTAATATTGCGCGTAAGAAATGGCATTGGTGGTCATCGGTACAAACAATTATCTAATTGTTTCACCGTCACTTAATTAGAAACATCCACCAAACTATCCCGACCCTTATAAAAGTTATATCGAGTAAAAAGTTGCAATTTTCAATATTAAAATGTAAATAAAATAATTTTAAGCACACCACAATTTAATTCTCCCACGAAAATGTAAGAAAAGAAAGTATTTAACTCTACAAAAGCAATCATAATCTTAGCATTTACCAAAATTAATTACGAGGTTAATGCCTTTAAACATAATAATAATAATAAATAAGTTAATTAATATTTTGTCGTAAGATCAAAATAAATTTATCGAGAATTCAATTCAATTATAAGATGAAGAAGACTTTAACGCAATGAGCAGCATATCCGTGCCAAACTTGCAAGTAGTAAACGAACAAATGGCCGGTGTAAAAAGGTGTGAATTGTTTTAAATAACTGCTATATTATATATAAATACAACGTAATTTATTAAGCGAATTTATTTATATATAATATCACAATATAAAATAAATGTATTTAGTGTCACGCTTATATATTTCCACGTATTAGATTACAGGGAAATTCGATAACGATGTATGTAAACAGATATAAAAAATGATCTTCTGTCAAAAGTTAACAACAAATAACGTTTATGACCTCGCGATATGGTGTAATATCCTGACTACTATTTCAAGGCCAAATGGCATTTAAGCTGTCGATACAAATAAATCAACATTTGGCGGGGGCCAGAGAAAACTAACGAATTCGACGCAATACGTGTTACGTGGTAAAGTCGTCTACAGAATATTCGACTGTGGAGTAAAGTAGCTAGGAACTGCTCCAGAATTAATTACTTTATGGTATATAAATATTTAAAAAGTACAGTACGGCAGGCGAAATACTTTTTAGCGTAAAGAACGAGTAGAAAACAATCGAGTTCATTTAAATTCGAAAACAAATTTCTGTGTTAAAGTCGATAATTAAGTTAGAATATAGCACAAAGGAAGAGTTAATAATAAATCAAGTAATTTAAAGATGGAGCTATAAGAGAAATACGAACAGAAATTCACTCGTATACAGTATACATATTGTATATATTTTACAATATATACAGAACATTTATTTACTTTATATTCTGATTTCATAACGTAGTAAATTAAAATTAATGTATAGGATTATTGTTAAATATAGGTTAAACTAGTTTAACATTTTGACAAGTTGGTAAATTTAATAAGGATATTCATTTAAAACTTTCAAAGAGCTCGAAGTGTTATTAGAAAGTCGAGAACATCCCGTGTCTAGCCTATCAAAATGTATACAGTATTTATTTAATCTGTACAAAAATACAAAAAGTGTCGTTCGGTTACACAGAGGGTAGGCCCTACGTTTATAACGTGAAATCGGTGGCATAATAATTCTTTTAAATATAATTAAATAACCTGGAATATATAACGCGGTTGTATGAAATTCTTCGAGTAAGCAGAGCTTTAATATACGAGTGTACGTTTTAATAATTGGATATAAACAGCGATGTAGAATCTTTTTAAATATTTATGTAATCTATTTCGAGTCTGAAATATTTATTGTACTGCAATGTGAAAAAATTGTAGACCTATAAATTCCCACTGTCGTCCGTCTGTCAGGCTGTCTGTCTGTCTTTCCTTAATCTCGAGAACGGAGTTATAGATGAAAATCGAGACCAGATATGGAAAGCTTAGAGACAGGAAGCCCGATTAACAATATACAAATTTCCCACGTAAACCGGAAGTCACGTTATTTCAATTCAAAAATTTTATCCCGAAAGGTGTTAAAGGAAAAGTAGGATATACGGGAGCAAACACTAGTAATTAGAAGTGGAGAGTATATATTTTAAATGACAGAAAT